CCAGGGTAATCCTGATGGTCCTGATGTTGCCCTGATTTATGTATCAACCTGAGATGTAATTCAAAACCCTTTCATACTGAGTACCCTTTGATGAGGCGGACTGATGATACTGCAGTGCGCTCCTCTCAATCTCACTGATAATTCTAAAATTGCCTGATTTATGTTTCGATCTGAGATGCTATTCAAAACTAATCCATATGAAGTGCCATCTGGGGAGGCGGACTGATGATACTATGGAGTAGGAAAATAGTATCTCTGATGGTCATCAATGATACCAGAATTCCTGCTTTGACACAATGGTACCACCAACTGGCCATTGGCAGTCAACCACAGACTGAATAGCATTCCAGCATTGCACATTTCCCGCTTTTGCTTATGTAAGAAGTGTCAGTGTCACTTCCTGACCCAATGATTGATTTGTTCAGATTTCATATCACTTGCCTGGCTTCAAATAGAACTTGTTTCTGATATTATTTAGCCCTATGAATCTGTTGGTAACACTTGTTTGATCTACAAAAATCATGCTCCAAAGTCATGCTACCCCCTCTATCCACCTATTACATCCAGAGACATGATTTTATATGAATACCAATGTATAATGCATAAAAGTGCACTCCCAGTGTTTTACCATCATATAAATAGATCGGAGATAATCTCAGAGTCTTTTGGGCCGATGTGAGTTAACACTTAGACCCTCATGCAGGGTGATATCAATACACAATGCCTTTCATAGCGACAATTAATCATTATAATAATGGTTTGACCCACATAGTGGAGGACACCAATAACAAAAGGCTTTGAAGCGAAATTTATTAGTCTTATCAGGGTCTACTATTATCATTATTAACAAAGATGCAAACAATAAAGCCTTCAGAATGACAACATCAAAAACCTCCCGGGAGTGAAATATGCTGGCACCATTCTCAATGGCGATACCCTCATAGAAGGATGACACCAACATAAGCTCTCAGGTTTACAAGGAAAGTAAAGTAAAAAAGTAAAAAAAGCCCCCAGAACCAAAATTTGTTGGCACCATAATCAATGGTAGGACCCTCATGGAAGGGTGACACCAACATAAGTCCCCAGGTCCATAAGTAAAGTAAAAAGAGCCCAGAAGCGAAATATGCTGGCACCATAATCAATGGTGATACCCCCATAGAAGGGTGAGACCAACAAAAGCTTCCAGTCCCAAAGTAAAGTAAAGTAAAAAAAGCCCCCAGAATCCAAATTTGTTGGCACCATAATCAATGGTAGGACCCTCATGGAGGGCGACACCAACATAAGTCCCCAGGTTCATCAGTAAAGTAAAAAGTAAAAAAAAAAGAGCCCAGAAGCGAAATATGCTGGCACCATAATCAATGGTGATACCCCCATAGAAGGGTGAGACCAACAAAAGCTCTCAGGTTCACAAATAAAGTAAAGTAAAAAAAGCCCCCAGAACCAAAATTTGTTGGCACCATAATCAATGGTAGGACCCTCATGGAAGGTGACACCAACATAAGTCCCCAGGTCCATCAGTAAAGTAAAAAGTAAAAAAAAGAGCCCAGAAGCGAAATATGCTGGCACCATAATCAATGGTGTTACCCCCATAGAAGGGTGAGACCAACAAAAGCTTCCAGTCCCAAAGTAAAGTAAAGTAACAAGTAAAAAAACCCTCAGAAGCGAAAAATGTTGGCACCATAATCAATGGTAGGACCCTCATGGAGGGTGACACCAACATAAGCCCCAGGTTCATAAGTAAAGTAAAAAGTAAAAAGTAAAGATAGTGACAGGATCTAATGAGTAAGTAAGTAAGTAAGTAAGTGAGTGAGTGAGTGAGAAGAAAGAAAGAGAAAATTTTTGGTTCAAGTTGACCGCATTTTTGCTTACATAATCAGTGTCAAACAAGACCACATATTGTCATTGGAATAAACTTGATGAAATTTCGCATATTTGCATATATAAGCAGTGTCAGGTAAAGTGAGAGGAAGAAACATGATGGCATTGCACATTCTGGCTCATTATTAGAAGTAGAAATTTCATAGACATGAGATTTATCTTACCTTTAGGCTGAATAATACAGTGATCAATGATAATACTTGCTAGACTTCCTCTGACACCCTACATACTACTATAGCACAAACGAGAGGATGGATCCACAGACAATGCAGCGCTTCAGGCCACCATGTGGGTGTAGATACGGTCATAGGTATAGTCATGGGTATGTCACCCTAAATCCTTGTGATTTGGCTCCAATTATTCTATGATGAGATTCAAAGGCAATACAATGGGAAGAATATAGAATGTGGCAGACATCCACCTCTTTCTTCTCTCTTTTGAGACTGATTGACCTTGAACATCTCCAGTGCTGTCTTCACTACCCCTGTCACGATGCCTCCCTCCAAGCTCGAGTTTTTCAGCCTTCATCTGTCTTGTCTGACTTTAACTAGGACTCTTTCATAAGATTATGAAGCCCTCTGAACGCACTGGTAATTCTCAGTTTGTCCAAAAAATCATGTTCCAAAGTCGACCACCCTTGTCATGCTGCCTTTCCCTCCAAGAGCGATTTTTCTAGACTTCATATGACTCACAAGGCTTGATCTTGAACTTGTTTCTGAGGTTATTGAGCCATCTAAATTGAACGGGCAGGCCCATTTCTTGTGTAAAAATCATGTTCAAAAGTTGAACACCCCTGTCATGCTGCCTCACCCTCTAAGATCGATTTTTTTTCAGCCTTCACATGACCTGCCTGACTCAAGATAGGACTTGTTCTAGAAGTTATAAAGCCTCCTGAATCTGACAGCAGGATTTGTTTGGTGCGCAAAAATCATGTTCCAAAGTGATGAGCTATCAAGTACTCTTGTGCTGAGGCCTTCACCCAAAGTCGATTTTTTCAGCCTTTGTATGACTTGCATGGCTGGATCTCAGGCTTATTTCTGAAGACACAGACCAGTAGGAACAACAATTTGATATGTCAAAGTCATGTTGTTGTAAAGTTGCTCACCTATGGTCAAGTTGACCGCTTTTGCTTATGTAAGCAGTGTGATGCTGCCTCACCCAATGATTGATTTTTTGAGCTTTCATATGACTTGCTTGGCTTCAAATAGAACTTGTTTCTGGGGTTATTGAGCCATCTGAATCAGATGGCAACACTGGTTTGGTCCGAAAAAATCATATTCCATAGTGATGCTACCCCCTCCCCCTAGCTACTGTGCCCAGAGGCATGATTCCATGTCAATACTGATGTATAAAAGAATGCTCCTAGTGTTTTTGGACCATGTTAATTGATTGGAGATGGTATCGGAGTCATCTGGGCCCATGTGAATTGTGATGTGTCAGTTGGCCTGATACCCCCCACAAAGATCGATTTTTCTAGGCTTCCCATGACTTGTCAGTCCTTAAATAGTATTCTTCCTGGTGGTTTTTGATCCATCTGAACACGATGGTCAAGCCAGATTTGCCAGCAAAAATCATGTTCTTGAGATATGCAAGGTCTCCCTCCCCCTCCTATCTCATATATCTTGATATTGTGTGAAGACTGAGATGCAAAAGGATGTTCCTAGTGTTTTATGATCACAGAAAGTGATTGGAAATGATCCTGGAGTATTCCCGGCCTATCTGAATTGAAATATGTCAATTTGCCTCATACCCCCCTACAAAGATCGATTTTTACAGACTTCCCATGACTTGCTGGTGCTCCAAAAGCATTTTTCCTGGGGGTTCTTGATCCCCCTGAACACGATGGTCAAGCCAGATTTGCCAGAAAAAATCAGGTTCTTGAGATATGCTAGGTCCCCCTCCCCCCTCCTATCTCATATATCTTGATATTATGTAAATACCGATATATCAAAGGATGTTCCTAGTGTTTTATGATCACAGAAATCGATTGGAGATGATCCCAGAGTATTTCTAGCCTGTCTGAAATAAAATAGGTCAGTTTGCCTCATACCCCCCACAAAGATCGATTTTTACAGACTTCACATGACTTGCCAGTGCTCCAAAAGCATTTTTCCTGGGGGCTCTTGATCCCTCTGAACACGATGGTCGAGCCAGAATTCCCAGAAAAAATCGCATTCTTGAGATATACAAGGTCCTCCTCCTCCCTCCTACCTCCTATATTTTGCTGTACTTGATTTTAACTTAAACCCGATACCGTAAAGGGCTGTCCTGGGGTTTGTCAAGCTTGGAAATCGATTGGTGATGGTCCCAGAGTATCTGGAGATCATTACTGGTGACATATGGTGGTAGGGCCAAAAAGTCAGTATTTTGACCATATCTCCACATCCCAACCGCCGTTTTCTGTAATTCTTGGCTCATATCATTCCTGGAAGTACCCTCTAAGATATGTACCAGCCTACAAAAAGAATTATTTTCACAAGTTTGAAATCTATTTCTGAAATGACCATATAAGTCTTGACTATCGTATTCCTTATCCTCATCCTTATGGCCCAGGTCAAAACCTCGTTCAGACTTTGCTTGACTTTGCTTGATTTTTGCGTTTTTATCGGAGTAGTTCCCACGGTCGAGTTGCTTTCTTGAACCCTTCGATTTTGAGTATTTTGCTTGTAATTCACTAGGATCTTACCCTATTGATGTCGTTAGACTATGGATAGACTCCCCTTGACGAGGGCTACGACATTGATTTTTGCATTTTTTTCGGAGTAGTTCCCACGGTCAAGCTGCTTTCTTGAACCCTTCGATTTCGAGTATTTTGCTTATAGTTCACTAGGATATTATCCTATTGATGTCGTTAGACTATGGATAGACTCCCCTTGACGAGGGCTACAACATTGATTTTCAGGCACAGCAGGGACAGGGCACAGCCGCAGCAGGGACTCACGCAGCCGCAGCAGGGACTCGCGCAGCCGCAGCAGGGACAGGGACAGAGGCGACTGCAGGGGTGCAGTCTCAGGAAACATATAGATAGTTTGAAACCTATCTCTGAAATGACCATATAAGTCATCGTAATAGCAAGCCCGACAAAGCCTGCAGATATAAACGTGTTCTGGTAACCTATATAAAGCCAAGGGGTGATCCCATATCCCTGCAAGAACACGCGTCAAAAGGTCAAGGCAAAGTAAATGTCTCGACTTACAATAGCAAACGAAAGGGTATTCTACATTCAAGAAAACTCATATTTAGTAGGAGTGCAAAAAATGACGAGTTGGCATACTTACGCGAACAAGGATGACAGCCATCATTACCTCCCCACTCATATCTTTGTATGAATCCAGGGCGTAGTTTATAGAAAGTGATGAGCCAATACTAGTTGAGCAAGAAATGATGCCCATGCCAAAGACGAGGCCGACCCAACTGATGCCCTTGGACGCACCAACTCCCCAGAGGATGAGAGAGGCTGGACATAAAAGAAGTGAAACAACCATAAGCCAAAGGCGATGCTCTGGCTCTCGGATACCGCGCGTTCGACGAGCATATCTCACAGCAAACCGATCACCCACCCACCCCGCTATAGAATGTTCTGCACCAATGTCAGAGAATATTACGAGGGCAACTAGGAAGAAATTTACCCAAGAAGCATGCCAATCAAAGGGCCGAGGTAGGTTAATCCGACAAAGTTCGCTCTGAAGTTATAGGGTTGTTCGCTGAGGATCAATGAACAAGTGGCATTCAGGACGTTATACCACACGAGACACGTTCCATACTGAAACCCTGCCCTATTGAAAAAGTCAATTTGCATTCCCTGCATTTCCAACGGACGGCTTACCAGAAAATGACAGGGAAGCGCAGCAGAATTACGGGACGGTACGTCATCGTAAGCAGCAGCTTGTTTGACGCATAGCGCCCACCAAATAAAGCGAGCCGTTGCGAATATGTTTTAGGTATGCCTGTCAAATCCCCAGAAGGGACAGGAGATGAAGTAGTTAACTTCTTGTCGTCTTTCTCAGCACCTGGTTTGGCGCTGAAGTGCACGGCTTCTGTCGCTTCACTTGTATTGCGTACGAAGTTTGTCTACACTTAGGTATAAGTAATAATCAGTACTAATCACATGCGACGTACCTCTTCCCTAAAGAAAAAACAACACTATGAGAGAACCGAAGTTTATGATCGCAGCCCAGTACATCACCCAATGCCATCCTTGGCCATCATATATGAACTTGATCAAAAATTAGGACGAAACTCGGAAACTGATGTGCAATTTGGTACGCACACCAGCGATGAGTGGTGCAAAGTAGCCTGACCTGCTCGCGAGGTCAGCATAAGTCAAAGTTTATACACTCAAGACCTACCCAAACAGAAAGAGCGTGTAAATTCCAATATACGTTCCACGTTCATGCGCAAAGAACTATTAGGTGAAATAAGCTTATTTGAATTGACAGAAATCTTGGTGTGCTTACTGTATCTGCAATGCTGACTTCGCACAGACTCTCGACAGGAGTGCAGAGATAACCCTGTACGATTTTGCTGGCGATCCTGGTGGTGAATGATCAATGAGTGGCGTTCAGCTGTAAAGTGTGCTGCATACCACTGGCCTTCCGTCTTGATGTACGGCGTCAACAGACAGATGGCCTGCCAAAGATTAGTTAACCTTCAAGTTGACAATATCTTGCCGTCATAAACTCTTACAGTGTTGCCAAGGACTGAAATAAGATATATACCACGCTTTCCAAAGGTAAGAGCGAGCGGCAGATTTATCAGCGCTCCCCAGCCTAAGACTAGTATTCCGACGTCATCTAAACCCGATCATGAGGGACAATGATGACGACCTACAAAGAAACACTGTTCATAACAACGATGAATGTAGACATGAGAAGAAATATAGAGACAAGCCCACTGTATCCGGTGCCCGCATTAAGCGTTGCAAGAGGTATCCCTGTATCATTGGAGATAGGCTGCAAGATGGAGTATAGCATGGTTGTCCCAATGCCGATAGCGCTTGTGTCTGTAGACTGAGTAAAAGTCCAAAACATCATCTGTCAGTTCTTAAGACACACATATCATCACGCAGACGATCTGCAAAAAGTTTCCGGCCTCTACTCCAGTTCAGAGGATCGTTAATATCACTCGAAGGCGTCGGACTGAGCACAATGGCACTGTTATTTCCTGCGTGCACAACCGTCGTTTTCTCCTGGACGTCGACAAGGTAGACTGATCCAGGCACTACAGAATCATCAATGTCGTGCATGATGTAAAGCGAAGCAGGGAGACCTTCCAAGTGGAAAATACAATATTGACGGCAGCGAACTTGCATTATATGGACAATTGAGGGACCGATAAGGAGCTAAATTCGGTAGAAACATATATCTAGTTCATTTCACTCTCTCTTCCATCCGCAGGCAGCATTCTCTGTTCAGTAGTGGTGGAAACGGGGACGCACGAATCTTGGGTGAGTCCCAGTGCTTCACGGCTTAGCACCCCTCCACATAACCGACGTTCTCGCGGTGCCATTGTGCAGTAGGACAACATCTATGTAAGTAGTCTTTCACTATTGCTCCCAATTGAAGAGCACGGAGGCTGATGATACACTCCCAGCGACAAGCATAGTTCACATTATAGGGACGAGGGAGAGTCGTTCCCGTCGCGGTTTTCCTTCTGAATTTTTACTGTCTATATGCGCTGTAACAACATGCCCTCGCATCAATTGAATATACCATCCACTCTGCTATCCCGCTGTGCCCCCGGTAACTTATCAAGTCAACTTGATCACAACGCATTGCTACCCCGCTAACTTTACAAACCAAAATCCTTCTGAAACAGGCACCGCCGAGCATCATGACGGAGAGCCTGTTTATTTCAAAGGTATGTGCGACGGTGATTGGTCTCATCTTGCGGCTCTATATCATGTATTAACATTATAGCATCACAGCAACGGACCTCTAAGCACTAGTCGACGCCCAAAACCATCCCTCTCCAACAGCAACTTCCACACGTGGCCTCCTCTCCGCCCATAACCATTGCATGCCTATTTTTCCTTCGTTCCTCCCAGTGAATGCGCATCGTAGGATTCTCGGCAGAGGCTGATTGCGGATGAGTAGCTGCTTACGCCTGAGCTACCTGTCATGTCTTCGTCAAGCGTTGTTCGGATACGGCGTAACGGTCCAGGCTGGTGGGCACGGCTTCGGAGGATGAAGAAATCAATTGCGGTGAGCCATCTATCTAGAAAAGGAGGTGATGATGTTTGACGAGAGAGGATAAAGCTGGATGAAGAAAAGTAACCCCGGCGTGTACTGTACTAAATAGCTGCTATGTTTTATTTGGTAATCGGTATCTGCTGTTAGTTCCAACTGATTAATGGCTCGTCACAAAATTCACAAAATGGACACTCAAGCTGTGAGGTGACACAATGTAAGTGTACCAGTGAGCATGCAGACAATGAGGAGCGATCCCATCCAAGGTTTGAAGAACTCTATTAAACCAGTGTGCTTACATAGGAAAAGGTACGGTCGACGGTACATTGACACATAACGGTACATATCCGTGAACAGGGTGGAAGCTAATTGGAAGCAATTGGTACTATCGATGACAATCGACAAGGACGCGCTGTAACTGACAATGAAAAGCGACTGGGGAAGTTGGGAATCGGATGATGAATCGATGACGCTGCTTCGTCATGGCAAGTGGTAAAATGGTCCCTTGCCGCGGTCACGTGGTGTGGCTGCTTAGCGCATTAAGTCGCTGCAGCACTCACTGCGGTCACTGCTCAATACGCTATTACTCTTGTTCTCAACGTCAGATGGTACAAACTCAACTGCATTGTCTTGGGCAATGACCCAAACTGTATTTTCCCCGTCGACATTGCACAGACACAGACTGTCAGTGACCTCAGAGAGGTCATCAAAGACGAGAAGAAGCCACAATTTGACTATGTTGACGCTGACGGTCTGATGCTGTGGCAGGTGAGTGATCTGATGCCTACGATTGGGTATTGATAATCTTATATTTTGGAAGATCGACCTGCCTATCGACGAGATGATCGAGCGCAATCTTAGCAGTCTTACACTCGACACAAAGAAACCCCTATCACCTGTGAAGAAATTGCAGAAAGTTTTCTCTAAAATACCTGTGCATAAACACCTGCATATTGTTATCCAAGGTCCACCTGCCGGTGAGTTGTCTTTCGATATTGCCACCCTTTCCTCCTTACTGATCGCGGTCTGAGTCAGTGTCTTCTGGACCGCTCCACCTCAAACTTAACTGCTTTGTCTTGGGCGATGATCTTCACCGTATATTTCAGGTCAAGATTGCACCGACGGAGAGTGTCAGCGCCCTCCAAAATATTATCAAGGACGCGAAGGGGCCATCATTTGACCATGTTGCCGCCGACGGTCTTGAGCTATGGCAGGTGAATGATCGGTACCCGAGGTCTAATGCTGACGATCTGATCATTTGGAAGGTTAAGATCGATTTGAACGACCTACACTTACTCGACGCGATCAGAGATGAAGGCGTGGAGTTGAAGCCGTTAACTGAACTGTCCGAAGTGTTCACGGATGGAGTAGAGCGCAAATATATTCATATCGTTGTACAACACATTCCAGCTGTTGGTCGACGATTCGCTTATCTCAAGAAGGGCGCAGGTACTCCGTCAGCTGGTGCAAAACCGTCCGCATTCTCTATAAAGCAGGGCGAGCAAGAGTACCTTTGCAATCGTCCTCGCAGAGCTGCGGACCCTGTTCCAGTTACTCTTCTCGAGCCTATCTTCGCCAAGTTCGTGGATAATTGTCAAAATCATCAACCAACTGTCCGCGATAACGACTTTGTTTGTCAACTGTCGGAAAAGATGTCCTCCTTCTATCCCGATGAGCTCACGTGGATGAATGCATTCCAGCAAGTGCTCCGCGACTACGGTATCAAACTCAATGCTTCTATGGATGGCTCGACAAAATGTACGACAGACGGACATCTTTTGTCCCCCAACGGAAAGTTTGTACAGATGATAGTGGTGGGGAAGAACGAGATCGGAAGCGACGCTGCCGAACCCTTCGCGGAAGCAATGTTGTAATACCGCAAGTTTATCGAAGACTCGAAGATTGAGATAGTGAGGCTCTGGTCTGTCATTCCATGCATCCATATCATTGTCTTCGGTTAGTTCATTTCACCAGATTCATGGCTAAAGCCCTTTATTGACCACAATTAGGGGCATGCATTGGCTTTGCAGGCTCTGTTTTCACAGAAAAGGTTCAGTCTGATGTCCTGGTCCCTATCATTCCTCTGTTTTGGCATTCAACAGACCTCCGTATGCAAGTGATGGCGGCTCGTACTTTTGAGGCTCTCAAAATCGCCATCGAGGAACTCACAAAACTGTACTCCCATCCAATTCCGTCCCTCGAACCTAAAGATCCATCTCTAGGATGTCCTTATCCTCGGAGTTATATCAATTCAACTGGTCACACTCAGGAATTCTCGTACGATGAGACTCAGATCCCCAAGGATCGACTTATCTTCTTTGGGGAAATCGTCGGCGGTGCGGCTGGGAGCAAGATATGTATCAAGTTCGTCAGGCACTATTCCCCTGAGGCCCACGAATTCTGTGCCAGCAAGGGGCACGCTCCCAAACTTATCGCCTACAATCCTTTACCCGGTGGCTGGAATATGGTGATTATGGATGCCCTTGATATCGATAATGATTGCTTCTCGCAACGGCCTGGCTCATATCGACTGCTCAGTGAGATAGCTGTTTTGGACCGCCAGCCGCTGAAGGAAGCCATCACCTCTCTTATCCGGGAGTTACACGATTACAATGACGGCTACGTTCATGGCGACCTTCGGGATGCCAATATCGTTGTGGGAGACAACAATCACTTCATGCTGCTCGATTTCGATTGGGCTGGACCGATGCAGAAGACCCATTATCCTATGCATGTTAATCGGAAGGATATTCGACGTTCTGATGGTGCGTGGGATGGGGAGAAGATGGTGGCGGAGCACGACTTGGATATGCTAAATTATATATTTTATCCTGAGCAAGATGGTCGGGAGCCAGCTGCAAAGCGCCGCGGTGAAGGGTCGCCAATGACCATTTGATTCACAGGCGCCTCTCCAAGCCTTCCTCAGATTTGGGAGTACTGCCAGGTTGCGCAACTTGCGGCGGCAGGCACAACAAGAGTCACAACTCGAATCATGGCTGAAAGGGGGTAGAATTCTACTCGCGCGATTTAGCGTATGTTTCAGCTGGTCAGATATGTGTACCTTAGCGAGAGCTTCCGGGGGGCTCTGAAAATCATTCCAATGTCACAAAACATAGAATGAAGCTGCTCGAAATACTTGCGCACCAGCAGGTAGCGCTCTCAGTAGATTTAGAACCTTGAGTAAATTCCATAGATCGAAGAACTGCAAGAAATGATCAATGATCAGTACTAGTATGGGGTCCATACTGTGCTAGAACTTGCGTTTCTCCTCTACAGTTCATTGAAACTCAGTTGCAAGCAAGTTGAATTAGATCGAGTGTCGCGAAGTACAAAATACCTCATTAAACATTGTCTCACGTTCTACTCGTCCCTTGTTGCGCAATATATTACATACAACCTCAGGGTGATGACAGCTACTTAGTTTCAGATCAGCGCGATGACCCGGCTAATAACTTGAAGCGCGGTCATATCTACCATTGACAGTGGGGCCGTTTCTTCCTCTTAGTTATACGCATCATGTTAAGTTTCACGTGTAGGAAGGAGGAAACATAAACAACATCTATGCAATCTTGACAGTCTGAATGACATTCGTAAGCATACACCAGCGGCCAAAAACAATAAACGGACGTACTTTGGCATACAACGAGTCTACGACCTTGCTAACTTGCTCCAGAGTCCCAATTGCTGCTCCATACGTGTTCTGAAAATGGGATATGAGCATGGATGGGATGAATGGGAATAGGGGGCGCACGTCGGCTTCTAGCTCATCGAATACGATTAAACATCCTCTTCCCTGATCCAGCACGCCGTGGAACACCTTGTCCAAGATCATCTGAGATAGCCTGAGACACGACATCAGCTACTTTTCACAGAGAAAATTTAATACACACTTGGCCTCAACGTCCTGCCGTCCTTGCCCGACTTGTTTGGCAACATAGTCAATCTCTACCACCGAGTACGGCTCAACGATACGCAGCAGGTTTTGCTGGAGAAGGGTGTCATAGAGCGCTGCAAGATGCGAGCGAATGGTAGGGTCGGACGAGAGTTCTGTGTAGCAATGACAAGTCAACAATGAGCTGCATAAATGGAACATGACATGCCATGTTTGTAATCCCGAAGGGCCTTCTCAAAATCGGACAAGTTCCGATTCTGATGCGCAAGCGCTATGGTACGCATGCTCTCGATCTCGCGGAGCTGAGCATATTTCACCGCGAGCTTGATGGAGAGAAGTGATGTTACATCTTCGGGCTGGGACGCACATCAGAATGATTGGCGAGTTAAGGACATTGACAACACACCATATTCAACATGACCTTGCACAAAAGCATGTACTTGAGTGCGTTCAGCGCAGCTGGGTCGTCCTGCGATGACATATTCTCAAAAGTCTCGTAGAAATATGAGTATGCAGTAGTGTAATCCTTGTCCTCGGCATGGAGAACACCGGATTGGAGGTCTAACGCTGCTTGAAGATGAGGAGGACAATATATTGAGTTTGCAGCAGTCCTGGCGGAAGTGAGGGCAGCCTTTTCATTTCACAGACGTAAGGGCACATAATGAGAATACCAGGATGGCACCCGAAGGACTAACCTTAGACTTCGAGAGGTTTCCAATGCCACGGTAGACGCGACTCTCGAGGAGGTGTACTTCGGTAAGAATCATCTTGTCATCTAACCTTTTCAACTCTGTCAAGAGTGCGTCGATTCTCGTTAAGGCTAACTTGTACTGTAGTGCTTCAAGTTGCCTGTACCAATGATCAGCATCGTCAGAAGAAGTAGAAGTGTTTCTTACAGGGAAACGAGTCGAATTTCCAAGCTATGTTTGAGGAATATGCGCTTTTCGCGCTTTGACCACTCAATGTTGTCGGTTAGGACGTCAATCTGGGTTTGCCGGCTGTTGGGGATGGAGTTGAAGTAATTAAGAAGCGTGCGGACTAGGTAGACATTAATCAAGTATAGCAGGTCAAGAGCATAGGGTACTCACTCAGCTTGGCAGTCTTTGCCTTGGCAGTTGAAGACATGAATGATCTCGAGAGTGTGATGACCTGCGCTAAGCCACTGGCATCTCTGTCTGGAGTGAGGGCTTGCGTAAAACAACAGACTTTGTAAGACTCACTTTTGATCTCGATAGAGCTCTGCGAGTTTGATCAAGGCCGACTCTTGGTCACGTAGGGACTGTTCCTTGTCAGCATTGACTGCTGATCCATTAGAGGTTGATGCTGGGAGCAGGATTAGCACTAGCAGTCAAGGCATACACTGTTCAGCATACCCGTAGAATCCAGTATTTGTTTGTAAAGCTCCTCTGCACGCTTTGGGTTAGAAGACGCGAGATCTGCAGCCTGCTTGAGGAGGTCTTGAGTGGATGTCATGATTCAATATTCAGTGTTGGCTATGAGTAGAAAGCGTTCATGGGCGTGACGCGTCTTCACACCGTGGGAATATGAACTTGTGAGACTGACGCGTCGAAGGGAAGCCAAGGGAAGCTCCCTAACACTGACAGTCATGGCAGAAGAAATCATTCCGATACCAAATCTCAGCCTCCCCCAGCACCTGTTCACTCTTATCTCACCAACGCTCGGGCAACTTCACGACAATGCAAGAAAACAATTGCTTGAAGGAATCAAGGCAGATAGTAAGTAATGAGATCATCTTAATGTTATTGACTTGATCTATGGTTTATGCAGAAATGTCACCGTATTATAAGTTAGTAACCTCTGCGGGTGCTCTAACGCCTGATTCCGCGTTGCTCGAATCGATGGAGAAAGATAATGAGGAAGAGCTCAAGAAGCTAGACGAGAGACTGGCAGAGGCGGAGAAGCAAGAAGGAGAATCCGAGATATCAGACGCTTTGAAAGCTAGAGCTAATCATCTAACTCGAATTGGTGACAAGGTATGCCTTTCCTATGCTAAGTCATACATACACTGAATATTATATATAAAGGAAGGCGCAGTCGCAGCGCAAAAACTTGCGCTAGAGAAAACACCTGGCCTTGGCTCGAGGATAGATATTGTGCTCACTCTCATCCGACTGGGAATTTTCTTCGGCGATAATGGCCTCATCACTGAGAACCTTCCCAAAGCAGAAAGGTGCGCTATCGCAAAGCTTTGCCGTGACCTTGAATTGACATATCATCTAGACTCATCGAGGAGGGTGGTGACTGGGATAGGCGTAATCGTCTAAAGGTCTACCGTGGGCTCCACATGATATCTATCCGCCAGCTTAAGGCTGGTGGCGCACTTCTCCTCGATGCACTATCGACATTCACTGCCACTGAACTCACAACGTACAATGACTTCGTCGCTCTCACCATCATTATAAACGCTCTCACCCTCAAACGAGTAGATCTCAAGAAACGGGTATGCTTATTCTCCTAGTATTTCTCACTGCTGATCAATTTCCTGTAGCTTATTACCGCACCAGAGGTTATCTCCGTTTTACCCGAAATCCCGATCCTTGGAGACCTATTAAACAACCTTTACGACTGCCACTACGCAAAATTCTTCGTCGCACTCGGTACGTTTCTTCGCACCCACAATCCACTTCCGAGGCCCTTGTCCAGCTTCACATTATATTTGTCTGATGCGATTGATAATGACTGACATGCCGTGTCCATGCCCACAGCGACCCTTGAGCAGAAGTATCTCCTACCCTCACGACTCCTCTCGCCTCATACCCGCTACTATGTACGAGAGATGCGTATTTTGGCATACAGCCAACTCCTGGAGTCCTACCGCAGCCTCACTCTTGAAAGTCTTAGCAGTGCATTTGGTGTCAGCGTCGAGTTTGTTGACAGGCATGTATTATCTGCACGTGTATTTTACTCGCCTCTGAGCATCTCTTCTAGTGAGCTCTCACGGTTTATCGCCAACGGGCGTTTGCATTGCACCATCGACAAGGTGCACGGTATTGTGGAGACGACACGACCATCGCTCAAGAACGCACAGTACGACAAAGTCATAAAGCAAGGCGATGTCTTGTTAAATTCGATACAAAGATTGAGTAAAGTGTTGTACTAGTACTTTACGTCTTATCCCAGTCTTTCGTGTACTCAGACAGTATTGTACTCATTTAGAGTTGATACATAAGGGTGCGCAGAAGTGGGCACATTCAAGTTGTTCCTGTCATCAACATGGACCCTGAGCATGTCCTCGATCTTCTTATGTAGGCCTATCAATGCATTGATATTATTACGGTGTTACCGGTGTCAGTGAGGTTGTTTGAAAGTTTCCGTCAGATGACGCTTAGTAGAAGTTCACATACACATCCACAGTGTGCTACTGCGGCACTGCTACTTCTCATGAGAAACCTGGCAAACATCACCTCTAGCCGTCGAGTGCTGCTCACACTCATCCCCGTCTCATTGGCTGCAGGCTGGACGTATTGGTTATCGTGGCGCACAACAAGCAGCTTACTCACGAGCCGCATGACCGCCGAGCCGCAAAACGTCAGACAGCATCCTACATACTGGTTTAGCGATGGTTCCATCGTCATTCGATCACGCAGCATGAGCAATGGGGAGGTTTGCTTCAAGCTGCACGAGAGCTTGTTGCGTCGACAATCCCGCTTTGTTCAAAGGATGTTAGATAGCGAGACCAGCGCCGACTCTGAAGTATTGATTCCACCAGAACTTGGTGTTCAAGTCCAGGATTTTACAGCGCTGCTGGAGCATCTATACCATGATATGTGAGAGTATTTCGTCGTGGTGGAACTGACAGAAAACAATTTTGATGCTCTTGCAGCCCTCTTTCCGCTGAAGCGCCCTTCTCGCATGTTGCGGCGATCCTGCGTGTCTCTTCCCCGAATCAGCTTGATCTGCCCGGTGTGCACATGTCAGCACGGGCTTACTTTGTATCGATGTTTCCACAGGGGCCTCAGCCATTCGCACATCCTAGTAGCCATCTAAAAGAGGCACTGGCACTTGTGCAGTCGTATCAGATTCCATCGGTGGGTTCATGTCCATTCCGTCATGCTTGCGATTTTGTGTTAGGTTCCTTCCTGTTGTTCCGTCGGTGTGGAATTATGGACAGCAAGCTTCTCTGAATACGCTTGCCACTTGCCTGGGTTTCTTGCCGTGGTACGATAGTTCGTTCTAATGGCCAGTCGGACATTTGAGCATGCTCTTCCGTCCTTTGAAAAGCTTGCGGTTTCAGACGCGTGTAGGGCAATCACTTAGTGGGGTTCTCTTGTGGCGTGTTAAATGCTTGGTTTTTTATATGGATTCTCGCGTCTGGGAAGGCTACTATCGATGCTGGGGGTGGCTCGTTCCTATTATTTATGGGCAAATTTTTCTGGTTCTGGAGAATTCGTGTATGCTACTGACAGGTCAGCGTCTAACTCCTACGAGCTTTCAGTGATCATTTCGTTTTATTTATGATCGGGGACAAAAAATTCACTGTTGTCGGATGTCTTTTTTTCGTTCGCTAGGCGTTTTCAAGGTTTTCGGAGATCATCGAGAAGCTGAATCTACTATTCCAGATCAGGAAAGGCATATATTACAGCATTGTGACGACTTCTGAATTCGAACCCGAGGACGATGACTTGGATCTGGAAATTTTCATTAAACCAAACGGTTTGCCAGGGTCATCGTCAACGCCACGCCTCGTTCTACCCCCAACAGATGTCGAGCGGTGCAGAAGCTTGATGACTGGCATCGTGGAGCATTTCACCCCTATTTTGTTCACACCAGTGCGTGTTCCTTTCTTCTGATTCGGAGGAAGTGGCCACCGCAGTGATATTTTGACTTGTGGCGAGTCACCGGGAAATGAGATCCTAATCAAACGGCGATTCCGTTGATACGTTTCACTGGCTTCAGATGCTATAGCCTTCGTCGACCACCAAACACCGAATGTTAGAAGATTTCTTTTATTGATGACTTGATCCCTTATTGTATAACCAAGAGGCTGTGCGCTAATTCGTCGATTGTTTTAGCCTGCAACTCCTCATATGGCATGTACAGACGTGTTTGCGGACAAATGGATGCCGCTCGTAATAACGCCTGCAATATCTAACTCTGGTGTCTGCAAACCACTCGAAATGCTTGAGCAAATTAAGCAAATCGACTGGGCCGCCGAGGGCTTGTGTGCTACGTGTGTCAGAGAAAAGATACAAGAGTGGACACAGGAGCAGGAAGATGTATGGGAGAAAATGGACTCATGGTTGGTTGGTTGGTTGAATCCGGAGTTCGGCACAAAGCATTCCCTTGTTTGAAATACACAATGGAGATATAGATCAGGTTTGTTGTGGTATTCGCGGCCCATCTATAATTATTGTATGTAAATCGGGCACCAACAGTTGTCGACGTCTGTTACAGTGAAGCCCCGCAACGTGACCTTTTTTTTTTTGTTTCAAGCACACACAACTTATAGCTATACTATGAAACAACACTTGACGATTCAAATTTGGAAAGTTAGGTGGCTTCCGATTTGAGAAAACATGAAGGCGCTAGTACGTAATGTCCTCATATCTTGTAAACGACAGTTTGCATTCTTCTTTGTTTTGTGCATCCGACCAGCAGTTCAATCTCGATGCGCTGTGTCGTCAGTGTACACGCTACAGGATGTCTGTGGTTGTCCATTCAACACAATACTGATCACTAAAAATTTTGTATACCCGGGCCATATTATTCATTAAGGTCACGACATCAATACTTTTACTCGACCGGAGTCAGCGAGCTCAACTTGAATGACTTCATGAGGCTAGTATTTATTCTCAAGCCATATGTGGGAAATGATTTGCTAGTTTCAGGTTTTTCGGCCTCACTGCTTGATGGTAGCGTTGTCCTTGCCGAAAACATCGTGACAAACGCAAGTTGCTTGTGGGCGCGATGAGGGCATTCCAAGTTTCAACGACCGAAATGAACTGTTGTTGACACTTCCTTCACGAGTATTTTCACATTTGTTCGATCAGAGGTTCGTGGTCGTTTTCCTCCTTGAGCTAATATGGTCATCGACGATTCTTTCTCGTACAATGCGATTTGTGGAAGACGCATCTCACCTGCAAGGAGCTGCTATTCTGGATATTACCAGCCCACAATGACCCAAGGTACATCTATTTTGGCTGCCAAAAAAATATTTTTTGTTACTGTGTGTACCCGCGTATACTGACCTACGTGGAATTTTGGAGAAGCACCAGTCACGGACACATTGTTCTATTGGTGTCGGACTTTTGTCTCCTGGGACACACAACACCCTCCTGAATCCTGAATCCTCGCAGCCCTTCTCCTTATGGGGTGTCTGGCATCTGGCATCTGTACTTGTGTCGCAACAGGTGGTGGATCTGTGGGCTCCTTTCGTGGCACCACTCTGTCAATGTCAAATCGACCGCTTCCAAGAATCACAGATTCTCAATTGTTGGCCGCCTCATCCACGCACAAGAGTAACGGTGGCGCGAGTTAAGAGGCAGCGTGTGTCCTTCAAATAACACATAAGTACCTTCCAGCGTACCTTCGATCAAGCATTTTCCAGAGACCACCATTCTCGCCCGTGCACAATCATGACCGACGAGAAGAAACCAATGTGTATTCGGGACGTGGTCCCTTCCCCTCACCCTCCACCGCGAATCTTGAGTCATGGCATATATACAGTTGCCTACGAAAGCCCGCCACCTGTCACCTGGACCTTGGACATTCGAGCCTGGATTGAACAGTATCTTGTCTCCTTTGCCGACTTATCCTACGCTCGAAGGCTTCTCGGAGAAATATATCTTCTGGCTCCTGGGCTGTTTATTGGCCATATCTGCGCTATGTTGTGGCTTAGTATCTCCGATGCACTGCTTCTTTTCTGTTTAGGTTCCATATTTAACTTTGTGAGTGGTGCACCCGAATCAGATGTATGAAACTTATCCTGTGCAGGTCGAGGGTCATTCCTCGGGAAACGTGTCTCACGACTCACTTAATATTGCCATCTACGGAGGGTTCTTCTGCGCCATCATTGAACCTGCTTGCAGTCGCTGCCTGTACGCTCATGTGATTTCTTATTTCGAGTGGCTGGCTTATCATTAACTGTAGAGCATATGTGAACGACATTATCAACAGTCGCTTGAAAGCACATTTCCTTCCCCGGCTTATTGAAGGTGATGCAACCCATCGAGAGTTGTATCCATATTGAAACCGTGAATAATATTTCCAGCCAGTATGCGTGTAGATGTGTCTTCCATGCAAGGTATAGATCTTCGTTGACTTCTCAATACCTTTTGTGACACCATTTCCTAGATTGTTACACAATATTTCCCGTCAGGGGCCACTTTCCGTCGGATATACCAGGCTCGTCATTCTTACAAGGTTCATTTCACATCGCTCGCACAACCATTTCCCTGTTGTCGCAAGTAGCTGTCTTGATGAACGCAGTACTACACAAACCTAGTCCGGAGAGAGAGGTATTGTTTCTATTTTGCATTGCTCATCCGCTCGTCCGCTGGTTGGCACCATCCAATGTTACCGGTACCCAAGGTTTGTGGTTATTGAGGACTATCGCTATTTTCTGAAACAAACTCGTTGTAGGATATATCTTTTATACACTAAACGTGCCTTTCAAGCATATGAAATCTCTCTATGACCTAGCATTCTCATCTCAATATCGAGAGGAACTGATACTCAACGGCGCCGCCAACAGCATCCACTCTGGTAAGATAATATTCATTCAAGCGCGCTTATGCTAATGGGTTGTGCAGAATACCAGAAGTCGACTGAGCAGCTCGATGATGAAATCGTAACGGAACCATTTCCCTGGACAAGTGGTTTGTTCAGAAGGTGGTACTGGGACTTCCTAATCAATTTAACCCTCGACCTTCCACTCGTAAGTTATCATATCTTACTTGTCTGATGTACTGACATGCTTCAAGGCGGTCTATGCGCTGGTTTTGCCTTGTCGCCTTTCGCCTTCTTCTGTGATGTCAATTGCTCTGCTACAACAAGCGACCAATAGGCTTTCCCTAAGCATCGGCGAATATGGGATGAATTCTACATCACTGAAGAGCTTATGCCTTCAGGCGAAGTGGCTCTACGATGCTATCAGTTACAAGAGCAAGATGTCCAATGGACCGATGTCTTATCCAGATCCCTCGCGAGGTGGTTCGTCGGATGGGATGAAAATATCTTTTCGGTGAGCTTCATGCTACAAATGCGGTGATGTGCTGACTCTGATGCATATGATATAAATAGACAAGTATCGCTTCGTTACGAGAAATGCAGTCACAACGCTCTTGACAATGTCACCCTGGAGATTGCTCCCGGTCAGCTTGTCCTTGTTGTCGGTGTCAATGGCAGCGGGAAATCTTCATTATTGAAGCTCATTGCGCGTCTCTCCAATCCTACTGAAGGGGAAATTCTAATTGACGACAATTCATTGTCGACATATGATTCCGATGATGTGCGCGCATCAATCGCGTTTTTGCCTCAGCTCCCGCTGTTATTTCCCATGTCCGTGAAGGAGAACATCTGCCTTGGGTTGCCATCCTGTGTTCATGCGACCGATGAGCAAATTCAACAAGCAGCCAAAATGGGTAGTTGCACGAACTGGGTATCAAAGTTGCAGAATGGGTATGATACACAGGTGACACCTACTCATGATATTGGGAATGGGTGGGTCGACGGAACTTATGGCGCCATCTCTGAGAGATTGCGGGAAGAATTGGCGCGTCATAAACAGCACACAGTCACAATCTCAGGTCAGTACTCGCAGTTTGTGTGCGCGTTTTCACTGACTAATAAGTGGTGACAGGTGGTGAAAAACAACGCCTTGCGGCGTACGTACATTACCGTTACTTCTGCGTCATAGCTGCTCATTTTCACTGTTTCTTCATCAGGGCGAGAACCTTTATGAGGATCAATCACACAGACATCAGATTAGTTGTAATCGATGAAGCCACGTCGTCTTTGGACGCTATCACGGAACGCGACATTCTTTCCGAATTTCACCATGTCCGCCAAGGAAAGACGATGATCCTTGTCACTCACCGCTTCCACCATCTTGTCAAGGAGGCTGATCAGATCATGTAAGCAGAAACGCTGTGCTAGCTATACAGATGAAATTGACACCTCGTGGCAGATGTATGAAGGATGGATCCGTGGTCGAGCGAGGGACGCATACTCAGCTGATTGAAGATGATGGCGAGTATGCAAAACTGTATAACGCGCAAGTTCTCTCGGTGTAATCCTGAATATCATTGCGTCGGTGATTTTGTGACTCTTCTTGTACTCATGTTTCTCGTACGTTTCTTATTTATGTTTCCCGATACTGTTTTTGTGCCCTTAATTGCGATATCTATTGCTGTAACTTTTGCAATGCAAGTCTCGATAACTTATCTGAGGTACAACAAAACCTTCGCGCGTGAAAGTCCTTCCGATACGTATACTTACGATGAAACCACGTATCATCATGATAAGTATTGATCTCAGATCTTGGAATCTCAAACTAAGACTTGCCAGCTGAGCCACGTTTCTGCCTAACCGGAACCACGCATGAGCGCCTGCCTTATCCACACATGTGGTGTAAACAAACTGACCCTCAAGTACCCCCCGGGCCAGTTCACCGATCAGATCTTCGATGAAGGATGCCTGCTAGGTGTTTTATCAATTTGAAATATCGTTGACGGCATACGTCGGATCGCGCGTTCATACGCAAGGCAACTTGAAGGACTCGGACCCACTATGCTGGAATGAGCTTAGTCTCACCGGGCAAGATATGAAATCTAGGGTGACTCAGGTAGCCGCATATGCAACTTTGTTTGGGCATTTTGACAGGCTCGGTGATTCCTGATGGGCCGGCAGGGAAATAACAGAATGTATTTACGCTGATGCCATGGGGAAAGCGTCCATGAAATCGCCCCGACGCTTCTCCAAGTTATTAACCCATCGAAGAGTTGTCCATATCTGAAGACTCCGCAAGCTAAATTCGTATACGATATGACACAGCAACAGGGAGAACGACGGTAATACACAGAACAAAAAAAGAAGAGAAGAGAAAACGATCTCGATACAAGAAAAGGCGACATTGAAAATGAAAGCGTAAGATATGATATCATGAAGACGGGCATAAGCGCAAAGCAAAGCATGGTAACATGAGGTATGAAGAAAATCATGACGTGAAGAAAATAAAAGTAGAACGTGAAGGGAGTACTAATGGAGAACGCGCCATACCCAAACGCTCGCAAAAGCACGAGTCCATACGGTAGGCACCAAAGAAAAAGTGTCTCCAAAACTGGTATCCATCCAGGCGAAACTCACTCGATGATCTCAAACCGTCCCCTTTTCCCCTCTCTCCCATCGCCTCCATCGTCCAATTCCCGCTTCTCTCCTCCCATCCCAGGACCTAATGCACCTGCGAGACCGAACGAAAAGCCCTCGGGCACTCCTACCCCCCGAAAAACTCTCCTGGGTAACGATATCTCTCAGAATAGCTGCGTATCGCTCGTCAGATAGACCCATCCCTGCTAGGGGGTTAATCCGTCCATCGTCGTCGTACCCCGACATTCCCAACGCCGGATGAAGACTGGAAGAGGAGGATGAATTAGATGTAGAACTGGAATTAGACGATGAAGTGTGTCGTTGTAATTGCGACGCCCCAACCGCGAGTGCTTCGCTAAAAGACGGATCTGAGAGAGGTGGGACGCCGAGCGAACGTGGTACTTTCGACATTTGTTGAATAACTTTAAGGTGCATAAGGTGTTTCTGCGCAGCCGTGTCAATTCATACATCCTCCATCTTGGTATAAAACACACCTCCAACATATCCAACAACCCCTCCTTCGTAAATGGCTTAGGTAAAATATCATTCATCCCAGATGAATAATACGTCATAATCTCGCTCGGTTTCGAATTAGAGGTCATACTGATAATGGGGGTCATATGGTCGAATTGGCGTATGAGATTCGTAGCGCTGACTCCGTCCATTTTGGGCATTACGATATCCTGTAGCATTCCCAATCAAATTAGTTTGTGGCACACGCGGAGAGAAGAAAAGTACTCGCCATCAACACCAAATCGTATTTTTCAAGGTTCATCTTATTCACAGCTCCAACACCATCCACAGCAACATCAATCATGCATCCAAACACCTGCAAGAACTTGCTGCTCAATCTCCTGCTCACCGCGTCGTCGTCTACAAGTAACACCCTAGGCGGAACAGCCCATCCCGGCACGAACGTAGACCGTCGAACACGGATAGTCGTAGGCGCAGTCGAAGATCGTCCATTAGACAGCGTCGGACGTACGACTTCTTCAGAATATGGATCGGGTTCCGATGGAAGGTTGTCGTTGTCGTTCCCTCCCTCGCCCTCACCTTCACCTTCTGCAGGTGGAGGCACAGCGCCCGTCGAAGGATTAGCATTGAACATCCAATTCCCATTCTGATCCTCCACGCTACTCCGGGGTAACAGATGTCCAACCGTAAAAACCTGCAGTCCCTCATGCATCGTCGTCGGCGCGTCCCAGTTCATATCAGGGGGAAGGAGAAACGTAGCGTTGCCGTCTTGTGTCGACGCTTGTGATGAGGACTGCTGTTGCTGCTGCTGTTGATGTTGCCCCCCTCGATGCAAATGCGAATGCATCCCACTCGTCCTCTGCATATGCATTTCCTCACCCGCTGACGACCCCGAAGCACCAGAACCCGAAGCCGAAGTCGAAGTCGGGGTCCTAAACGCCGCATCGCTCGCTGCCCGCCTCGACATCTCGTTCATCTGCACTAGACTCAGCCGCGCGACCATATCTGGATCTTGCAGGCCGAGTTCTTGGGCGGGAACGAATTGCTCTTGGGCTGGGACGAATTGGTGGGGGTGGGGAGGGGGGAGAGAGTATGGGTTGCGGAGGGAGGCTGGTTGGGGCGGTTGGGACATGGGCATGGGTTTGCGTGCGTGTGATGAAGGCATGGAGAACGAGTTTGAATTTGAAGGAGATGCGAGGAAGGGCGATGGTTGTGGTTGGCTCATAGACCGCTGTGAGTGAGATGCTAGGAGAGAAGGCGGTGGATGTGTGCTGGGCGTCATGGTAGGCGCGATGGGTGTTGTTGAGGTTTGAGACATACTGTGGATGGGGGTTTGAGGTGGGGGTTGAGACACGGTGGGTTGAGACACCGATACTGGAGCGATAGGTACTGAAGCAGCAGTAGAAGACCCGGCGGCGGTTTGGGAGGTAGCGTCTGAGGGGTCTTTGGGTTTACCTGGGGAGAGAAATATGTATTAATGAGGGAAAACACAAATACACGAGAGGAGGAAGAAGGACAGGCCCAGGCATAGAAATCAGGGCCATCACCAACTCAAAATGCACCCGCGTCCTTGGTGCCTAGTAGACCGTCAACCGAACATTGTAAACCTATCAATTGGACATCATAGACCCATCAACTGAGCATCGAGGCCCCATCATCAATGTCTAGACCACGACTAGCGCATTGCAAACAGACGCATCTTTATCTCCACAGGGGTAACAACAGTCACCCCCACGGGGAAGCGCATTTCGAAAAGGTACACGGAACAGACAGGAAACCGACGAGGAACGGAATGGGACATGATAAAAGAAATAAAGCAACAAAACAATCGATCAAAGACACTCACCTCCCTCCCCTAAAAAATACTGTATCAATCCCTGCATCAAGCCATCCTGCTGCGCCATCCCCTTTTGAAAATTGACCATCTCAACAAGCACGTCCCCGTACTGACGCTCCAACACCCTAATCCGCTCTTCAGCCCTCACGACTTGATTCCTCAAAGTCTCATTCGTAGCGAATAGATTATCATTCTGAGCCTGTAAAGACGAATGTGATGCAAGTAGGGAATCCGTCTGTCCTCGTAGTGTCTCATGCGATGATAAAAGGGTATCATGCGATGAGAAGAGCGATTGGTATGAATTTTGCAGGACGCCGATGTGGGATTGCACAGTTGCTAGTTCGGCAGTGCTAGTTTCGCCTGGGATGGGGCTGCCGGAGCTTGTTCCTCTGCCGCCGCTGTGACCCCCGTTAGAGGAGGATGGGAGAGATTTACGCGCTGCGGGGACTTTGCGCTTTATGTTTTCGAGGGCGTCACGTCGGTCGGCATGGAAATCGGGGTGTCGGAATGTCCAGCTGTGCTCGCCGAATTGAGCATCGTCGGATGTTTTAACCTGATGCGGAAGAATTAGTATATTGGATGGTAGAACGGAATGAGGTAGAGGAGGTAAGATATGTAAGGAGGTGGAGTGGTACATCGTGTAGTAAGTACGGCCTGATGAATGTATAGCGCTCGGACGCTGCCTTTACGGAGATGAAGACGGACCCAAGGTGATTGTGCCAGGTCACGATTGGTGCCAAGAACCCCCTGTGGCGACGACCAATTACAAAAAGGAGAGTGACAAGTATATCTCGGCGGTGGCAATGCACGAACAAACCGTCAGACCTGGTCGACAAGCATCTGAGATAGACATAGAAGCCTCGGATCGAACCGAGGATCGACGGGAAAGGCCGAGTTGAGGATGGGGGATTCCTGTGGTAGAATGGAGTGCGGATCGCTGAGATAAAGAGGATTGGATTGCCTTTGATAGACGATATGGGGGTATGCAAGAAGTCGCGTGATGTATGCATGAGTGGGGACAATGGAGAACTCGAGGTGGGAATAAAAATAGAAGGAACGGTGAAAAGACGAAAGGACTGAAAGGAAGAAGTTCGAGATCCGGAGTAGACTAGACTCACTTTATGAAAATCATATTTGTTGAGTTGTCTTACGAAGGAAGCAAAATTTGAATGCTTGAACATGCGTGGGAGGATGGATTTTGTAAATTCGTTCATGTCCTGAGGGAAGGATGAATGAAATATGGGTGAAAACACCGATAATTGGAAGAGAATACGGACCTTTACGACGAAGCAGTCGCCTTGTGGGCCCCATGACACAACATGAGAGAAGGTATGGTCTTCTAACATTCTGTATGATAGAAATGAAAGTTGTGATGGTGATGAAGAAGAAAGAAGAGAAGATGTACTTGTAAAGCTTTTTGACGAAATCGCTTGTTGCTGGCATAGTATCTTCCTGTTCTTTGAGTGGCGGGACTGAGTGGATCTGGTGAGTGGGTTCTCTCTTCATCTGCCTCATCTCTCGTTGTGAATGGATTGGTACATCTTCTCTTGAATTTGAAGTGCGATGGATTGATGATGATTGACCCCATGAGACTGGAGAAGGGTGGCGATAGGGCGTCGAGTCCATTGCAGCCATGGGAGGGAGAGTTGTGACTGATGCACGCTGAGGGTGATTTATAGCAGGTAGCTGAACTTGTGGTGGCGGTAACTGATGTGAAGCAAATAAGCGAACTGAAGAGTAAGGAGGACCTGTAGTAGCGGTGTGGTGGTCCATGTGCATGGCTGTATAGCGTACCAAGTGATTATTATCGCAAGGGTGTAAACTTGTAAGGGTCGAAACCCAAACACAGGTAAACTCACGCTTTCAACCCAGACGCAACAAGGCTCTCGAGCTCGATGTCGATGCTTGAAGAGATTATATCAATAGAAGAATTACTCTGGTAAATGAGTCTAGACTTTTGACTAAAGTACTATTCAATAGACGCCCAAATGTTCCAGGCTCAGCATGCGGTTCCGAATTGTCCGACAATCGCTTTGACGGCACACCCCTAGGTTCTTCTAGACTACCGTCACCCTCGTTCCTGTCTTCACCGGTCACTATCGAGCCGACCTATCGATTCAATAGCACTTCATGAAGAACCTAACCTTCATTCTTCACATCATCCTTCCTTCAGCACTAATTCCTTCCTCATTAAAGTAATTTCGCTTCCTTTCAACTAATCGTTCCCTTATGAAGATTTGATGTACCAAGAATATCTCATCGTCTGCCCTACCCCCGACATTCAATATACTCCACACGTCCGAACTTCATATCATCACATCATAAAACCTCGGGGTATGCCGAATCAAATATCCCCCATCCAATACCCACTCCATTAAGTCGGTTTCTCAATTCCTCAAACTTCCCACTTTGCGTCCTTCGTTAATGCCGCTACATGTCCTATCTCCCCCGACATACACAATCATTTCTCTACCCCTGTCACCAGCTGCCAGCCTAACAATGGCTTCTCAGCCTTTGCTCAGCCTCTCGGGATGTCCCATGGGCGTTCTACTTAAAAAGAAAACAGGCTTGCGTCCTAGTTAATCCCATAGTAAATCCACGTCTTTATTGACCGATATCATTCACGTCTAACTTTATGAATAGACTGACAAGATGCGAACTCTATGTCAACATAGTAAATACGCGACGTCCCTAAGGAAAGACTGAACCGTAGGCAAACGCAGCCCGTGCACATAATTAAATAAAGGCACGTCCTATCTCCTTACAACTATTCGTTTATCGTTTCTGCACAGCTTCGTACTACTATGTCTTCTGAGTCGACGAACATGATACCCCTCATGCTCCTGGTTTTTTTTTGCGCGAGGTCCTACAACTCACTGCGCATACCATGATGCATCAAATTTTGTGCGCAGCTTCGGACTACCTTGGCATGAGGGCATGGTTTTAGAAGAAGCCACGTATGTGGTAAAGGCACGAGGTCCTTGACCGTCTCCTTATTTGCGATTCATATCGCGATGTAGGAAAATACTTTACCGTTGAGCGCGCGTAGCCCTCGTGAGTCCGTTTGATTGTCCCACATCCCACTATTTAATGTCCGCGTGAGATGGGCACTGCAGCTACTGCTCTCGTACATAGAGAACCCAAATGCATAACGTGCTAGTACGCCACATACCCTCGGAGTTTCAAACAATGTCAAGCCACCCGCCCGCGGACACCACATCACACTAATCCCCAACTAGAACCTGTCCCGTCGAATCCCATAAACACACTTAAAATTCGTCGGGAGTTTACCTATGTCGCAACAAGACGTACAAGCACCGATCCCCACTGATAATCCGACCTCACTTGGATTTACGGCTCCGAAATTGGACATGAAAGCGCGTCATGAGTGGGTATACCGAGGTCTCGGTGACCTAAGTAGCTCAGGTGACGTGGAAATACCCATTAGGTTGCCCCACGGAGCCAACATAAGTGTCATATACCCTTTGTTAGAAACGCGGCAGCAGTCATCAGCCAGAATATCGATGGCGATACCGGCATTTTGAATTGGAGGATTGATGCAGGCAAATCATTGCTGGGGCATCCCCGGGAAGTTCCATGGTTCGTGTTATGACATTACGAGATGTCATGTTGGATGTATTGATCCAAATGTCAGGAATTCAGGCGTTAGGTTGTCGTGGGCAACAGCAAAGGTTGTTCGAGAGTTCGGCTAGTTGTCGTCCATCACTGGAGGAAGACAGAGTACTCGTGTCATTCTTGGCCCCTCCGAGGTATAGACCACGACGGTTTTCAGCAGTTGCTGCGGGTGCGTGGCGATTGATAGCAGTTACCTCATACATAAATTATATATGCATGCAGCATCCCGATCAGAAGCAAAAGAAAAAGTCCGTGGTTCTTTAAGTTTCCAGCTGTATTATAGTAAATAGTCTGCCCATTGTTCGATATTTGCGATGTTGCAATCTGGATCAACTCGGAACAGAACCACCACTATCGGATCATTTCACGTTGACCAGTTGGCTCCTGGACAATTCCCCCTTGCGATTGGAATTGGTAACATGCGCTAATCAATACCCCCTATTACAGTCTGTGGCCTATGATCTAAAAACGTGGATGCGAACACGATGAAACTTTCGAATGCGCGAAAACGGCGTTCCACTAGAGAAGTATAGTTTCATAGAACAGCCCCTGCCTGCCCATTTGCATTACGCCTTCGCCTCACCTATATTTATCTCAAACACTTCGCGCTTATTGAAATCGGAATACGTCCGCACCTTAATTTTCTGAGCAACTTGTAATACAGAGAAAACTCAAAAGTCGTACTAAGATTGCTATTGAGGCCGGGAAATGCCGTGGTTGTACGTTTTGGAACTGCCACCAACTATCTATACCGTTAGTAGTGACTGACTTCGACTTTCTGAATCTAATGCTAACAACGTTATCTCATATTAGAGCTCTACCCTGCACCCCGCTGTTATTCCTCAAGCAAACAAAGGCACTCATTCTGACGAACCTTATAATGGGTCCGACTAGAAGGTCCACTGCCGCTGCTGCACCGATCACCTTGACGTCATCCGACTCTCACTCGAAGTCATCCAAACGTCGAAAAGTAGCATCAGCAGATGAATCAGAACACGGTGCTTATGACCCTGAACTTCCTTCGCTTCCCTGTCGGTGACTAAACATGAATCTCTGTAGCAACGAAAAAACCCGTGCACAAGAAGCGGAAAAAGACGGGGGATGAACCTCTGACGGAAGACTTTCCAGTACGTGTCTCCAGTCCGTGGAAGATCGGAGCACATGTATCAGCTGCAGGAGGAGTCGAGAATGCTGTTCGAAATGCAGCGATGGTTGGGTAAGAGACGCGTTTCGTGCCAGTCTCCCTTTATTGAAGCCCTGAGCATTACATCCGTACAGCGCCAATGCATTCGCTCTATTTGTAAAATCCCAGCGGAAGTGGGATTCCCCACCACTTTCCCCCGAAAATGTCGATGCGTTTAAGAGACGGATGCGAGAGTTTGGGTATTCGCCAAAGCATGTTCTTCCCCACGGTAGTTATTTAGTTAACCTGGGAAACCCGGACGAGTGAGTGCCAGTAACTTCGCCTCTTTGATTTATGGGTAATGGTTGTCTGAATTTAGGGAGAAGAGGCAGAAATCGTTCAACTGCTTCCTCGATGATCTTCAGCGGTGCGAGCAGCTTGGCCTCGAGCTGTACAATTTCCAGCGAGTCTATCACTCTGATCCTTTCCGTTCGAGCTCGAACTCACGTCATTGAAGTCCGGGCTCGACTGTTGGGCAGGCCACGAAAGAAGAGTCGATAGCCTTTATCGCTGAATGTATCAATAATGCGCACAAAGCAACTAAATATATAACAATTGTCATCGAGAACATGGTGTGCATCTATACGGCTTGGAATATTTCCTATCCTTACTTCATTGTTCAAAATAGGCAGGTTCAGGAAATGTTATAGGCTCTCGGTTTCCAGAGCTGAAGGGGATTATTGACCACGTCGAAGACAAGACACGAGTAGGCGTTTGCCTTGATACCTGTGCGTCTCAGCCTTGTATACCTGATCTTCCTGACTAGTGGAATTTAGGTCATGCGTTCGCTGCAGTAAGGACATCATTCTCTACCTTGCAAACCTTTTACCGTGATTTCAGGGATACGATATCTCAACAAAAAATGGATGGGAGTATGTCTTCCGGCACTTCGTTTCATGCACTTGCTAACGTAGCTTCATAGTGCAACGCGTGAGTTCTACAGATGCGAACTATTAGGAAACATAACCGTGATTTGAATCACGCAGTCTCCGCGTTCGACACCGAAGTCGGACTATCATATCTCAAGGGGATGCATTTGAATGACTCAAAGGCCGCCCTCGGGTCAAAAAAAGATCGACATGAAAATATTGGACTGTGCGTGTTCCATCCTTGGTTATTTATTAAGCGGTCGTTTTCATCGCCGTTTCAGCGGACATCTTGGTATTTCTACATTCAGGCACGTTGTATCCGACCCACGGACGCAAGATATTCCTCTCATTCTCGAGACCCCGACTTTTGAAGCAACAGACATATGGGCCAAGGAGATATCGGCTCTCAATTGCCTCTCAAATTTGGTCGACGACAGTGAGGTTCCAGAGACGGAACTGTCGTTGGTTTATGAAATCACATCCTTGGTGCGAAGCCACGCAGCGAGCAAGACGGGGATAACGAGCAAGACCCGTGCACGCAAACGGGATGCGACGGAGGAGCAGGATCATGACTCTGATTGTACTTAGGAAGGTGGGTCAATCCTCACATCAGTTACAATACGTCCCTGAGGCATCTCCCGAAAGTTCTGTTGGTTGGGGTGTCCGAGGGTGTGCGATCGATTTTATTTTGCTGCTCCGTTGAGCAATTGATATTTCTATTATTGTTTCCTTCCCCCTGTTCTCGCTGCTATAAT